ATTTTAAATCAGAGTGTTGTAAGTACCGGTTGTGTGTGTGTGTGTGGATATGTGTGTGCTAGTGTGATGATTAATGAGGTATTTTTGGCAAGTTGGCATTACTCAATTTCCTCAAATCCATTAAGAGTTCGCTTTACTGGAATAGTTAAGCATGAAAATTAAATTTACTCACCCAAGCCTGTGCACTGTTACTATTTGAAATGAATAAGATAATTTTGGAAGACTTATTACGCAGCTCTTTTCCATACAAAAACAGTTCATAGTGACCATAAACGTACACTGTAAAAAAGTAATTTTTTCGAAGATTATTAGAGTGTCTGGTAAAACTTTAGAATAGGGAACACTTATTCACTATTAACTACGACTTTTCCCTCAATAAATTCCTAATGATTGTTTTGCTACATATTATAATTTTTAGGCTTTCTATACTAAAAAACAAAACAAAAAAACGATTACGCTGTATTCATGAAATTTACTAGCCATTTCTAAGTGAAAATTACTTAAAATTCTACATCTTAATTTTAAAAAATATGGTCAATACAAGTTACACGATAGCTCTGTAAGAGGAAATATTTTTGTACATTCTTTTTTATTCTTTTCTTTTCTCTAAAAGATCTAAAATCTCTTTGCTTCTACTCTATAAATTGTTGTAAATAAAACAAAGTAGTTGATAAAAGTTGAAAATAAAACAAAGATTAGTTGACCACATTTAAAGAAAATACTATTTCAGTCTTTCTTATTAAAAAAAATAAATAAATAAACATAATGCATACTGTGATGTGTTACTTGCTGTTTATTTGTATTTGTGAAATTTACTACCAATTTCTAAGTGAAAATTATTTCAAAGTAAAACCTAGACAATTTTTTGTTTGTTTGATTTGTCTGTTTGTTTGTTTCCGTATAATCAGTATAAGTCAAACAATAGCTTTGTATGAGGAAAATTTTTGTTGTTCATTATTTATTTATTTATTTACATTTTTGTTGAACAAATATGTTCCATCGGCCAAAGCTCTAAATCCTGATTGCTTCTACACAGTAAAATAAATAAATACATATTCAAAGTTGTAAATAAACTAAGTTAGTGGACTACATTTTACAAGAAAATACTATTTCAATGTGTGTACTTTAAAATCTAATGTTTATTTCAGTGTGTTGCTTGCCATATCTCAGTAATTGTTAGTGAAATCTCTAGCAATTTCTGAGTGAAAAATTTACACCATTTTTATTCCAGTGTATGTTTAGACTAAAAAGACTTTTATGCAGTTTTTATGATTTTTAATTTATTTTTTGTCATTATTGGAGCTTGACATATTCATGAACTTGCAAACTTGCATAATAACAGCATACGGGATTGAAGCGACAAGAGGGGTGATAAATAATGGCAGAATTTTTTTGTGCGATTAAGTGCAGATTTGAATAACAATAAGGGGTCATCTTTACAATATATCAAGCATTTTAATACTTGAGGTATAACAATATCACAGCAGAAACCCTGTAGACCAAGAGACCTACCCAGACCTGATTGACTCATGCCGTCGCAATGTTTACCGGTTGCATTTCATTCCTTTTCTTTTTTTTTCTAAGCAATTAGAAACAAGAGATGGTCGCTGTAGGAGTGCCAGGGCTGTGCAGTTTCCGCTCATGTCGTTTGTAAAGGGCTTAACCCTACTTGGACCTGTTTATTTGCATCCATCTGTGAGTTTCGCCCATCCACGATGAAGCCTCACGCTACTGTACCCCAATAAAACCAGAAAACACAGTCAGAGATGGCATGAACTGACTCTGAAGGACGCGTATTGTGGATGCTGCCAGTGCCCAACAAGCCCTCTTTATGATGGCAGGAATTATGATGGCCATGTTGGATATGTGAGATCGCTGGTGGCGAGCAAGATAAGTCGAGTAATTGTCACTTACTGTAACAGCGGCTCCCATTCATTAAGAGCCCGTGTCTAATAAACTACTGGAGGAAAGGAGGCCAGCTGTACTGTGAAGCCTCACACAAGGCGGCTCTTTCTCTGCGGCCCCAAACTTTGTCAAAAGGCGAAACTGTCTACGAGGCGCTCTGTGATTCAACAGCGATTCCAATAGAGGTTTGTCTTGGGGGAGCAAACAAGGGCTTGCTTTTGACTAAATAATGAAAAATAGGCTGTTCAAGAGGGACAGCAAAAACTGATATAGCTTCTTTTTTAGACTAGTTCCAGTTATGTCAACTGGAAAACAAACAATTAGAGGGTTGTTGTGATACTTTACTTTTTGCCTAAAAGTCAAGGCTGCATAATTTGCAGCAATAGTTGATCATAAAGCTGACCAAACTTGTAAAGGATCTTGTCCACAAAGACCATTAAAAAAAAAGACCTTTCCTTAAAAAAAAAAATCATAAAAAATCATTTACATTACAATCAAGCACATACCCTGCCATAATGTTACTGCTAAAAAAAGGATTCTAAAATTATGCAATTTTGAACAATTATTTGTTTTTACTTAATTATCCATAATTATTTAAATTGTAAATTTTTATACACCATGCGAGTATTTGTTTAATTGCCTTAAATGTATGCTGACTGTTTTTTAAATGGCCTGTCATTCATTTTCATGTAATTGTCAAACAATAACAATAAAGAAAATAGAATAAATAGACTTTATTCTATTCATGCCATATACGGTATACACAATACATTCAAGTTTGATCAAAAGTGACAGTAAAGACATTTATAATGTTGCAAAAATGCATTTCAAATAAATGCTGGTCTTTTAAACTTTGTTCATCAAAGACTTTGGGGGGAATACACAAAAATATTAAAATATAAGGTAGCATAACTGTTTTCAACATTGATAATAATCAGAAATGATGCTGAAAATTTAGCTTTGCATCACAAGAATAAATAACATTTTATAATATATTCACATAGAAAACTATTATTTTACACTTATTGTTTTTATTGTTTACAGCGAGCATAAAAGACTTTATTCAAAAACATGAAAAAAACTTCTTGTCCCAAAACTTCTGAATGGTATGGTGTATATATTATTTTGTGAGATTCACCTTATCAGGCCAAAGGGAGGTGACCAAAAGAAGCAAGTTGACCAACCTTATGGTTATCAGATTCGTTAGTTTACCCATAACCTATCAAAATAGTTAGACTTTCCTGTTCTCGTATCTAACTCACACCTACATTACAATGGCCTCCTCATCACTGAATTCTTACATTCTCTCCTCTAGAGCCATACAAACCAGTTGCATTGTGGAGTACATGAATAGAAGCCCTCCAATTCCTCAACCCCAAATTTTTCAACAGTTGAGTGAATTTTTCATACAGTTGAGTGAATTGCAGAGGTGCTTCAAGAGGAACACATGTCCTCGGCTATGCTGACATTTGAATGCATTTCTAGGAACCCTGTTGGTTTGGGGTGTCTTTGCCGGATCATGGTGGGCCATTGTGAGTCCTTCTCAACTTCCTGTCAGTAACTGTCTGAGGGATGCAAGTACTAACTTCTTGGAATGTGGCAAGTCCTTGTGAACTATTTCCTTTTCTTTTTCAACCACTGTTTGTTGCTTTATAAAGTTCCTTTTTCTAACCTTTAAACTGATGGGTTACTGACCCTGTGCAATGGTAAATATACCCTAGGAACAATGTCATTCTACAAAATAGGCATTTTGGGAATCCGCTGCCAAACAACCCATTGTCACTCTACGAAATATTAATTTCTAGCAACTTTACTTGCTATAGCCAAGCAGCTAAACCTCATTCTAAACTCATCCGGAGAGACGTGGGTTCATATTTGCAGAGTTATACCAATTTTGCAGGGACTCAAACAAGAACTCCCATAAGGATATTTGCTGTCATTAACTGAGCTCATGGCGGTTTAGCGCAGACCAATTAAGACTCATATTTGCTTATACAGTTGTTAAGTTTCTCCAAGGACCATTGTGATTGGGGCCATACATCCCATTGTTTTCCGATAATTAATGATACTTTGGTTTACTTTGGACTATACGGGGATATGAGTATAAGACAGCTAAAAGAATGGGAGAGATATATAGTAAGCCACAATTCAAACACATAAGGCTCTGATGACAAATGACTAACTTCAGAAGGTCAGAATAAAAGTCAACACGAGAGAGCAGCTTCACTCCTGAATCCCATCCAAAGCTCCATTGAGGAATAAGTTCAAGGGAAGAGTTTTAGGAGAAAGTTGGATTATTGAATCCAAGGGGGAAGTGGGATTGACTCCATCTGTCGAGAGGGTCTTCCAGCTGACTTTAGCCCACATGCTGGATGCTGGCTCAGGAAGCTCTCTCACACTTCCTCCCGCAGTCCTCGACATGATCCTCAAAGGGGGGAGTGTACCAAAAGGCATAGCCTCTATCTAACGGTCTTTGTCCCTATAGGGGGGCGAACAGTGGGATCCTACAGGGAAGGAAACACATGCCCCCTCCTTCAACAACAGCAGGAGGAGAAAGAAAGCACATTACATGCTTGAAAATCAGCCCGCTGCCATTATTTTAGTTACCAAACTAGTGGGGGGACACTGTCGCTTTCAGACGTGCTCTTCAGGTCGTGAGTCGTGAGATGGGAGGATGATATTTTCCTTGGCTCACATCACGGATTTTATGAATGCACCTGCGATTGTGGCTCCCTGCATTGTTGTGGTGTTTTGTTGAGTGTCACATATCGGTAATGGAAATGAGGCAATAAAACAAAAGGGAAGTTGGTATCAGTTTCACCTGTACACAAAAGTGTGCCACAAGCGTGGTATTCAAAGCAAAGTTGGTTTACTCAAAGCACAGATAAGAAAAACTTGCTAGCTGCTCGATTACCAGACTAGCCATTCATAAATTACGGCAAACATGTAAATATACAATAATAGATTTCAAAACAACTGTAGACACGCCTCTACAGTAATACTACTGCACATGTATACTTGGCAAAGTTGAGTAACAGTAGATGTTTAACTTGATTTTTTTCCTCCTCTTTTTCTCTCCCTATTTTTTTTCCCAGTATTTTTTTCTACTCAAGCATGGCGGTGATAATTGGATTGTGTGGACACCTGTATGAGTGCAGTATATCCAGGGGATTAGAGAACGGGATGGGTGAGTCAACTCAAATTATTGTCACGTTAACCCATACAACTGGCAGCCGCCACCGCCTACTACTCACTAAAATAAGGTCCCAGTGGCCACAGAACCTGCCCAACTTCTGTACAACCTCTAGAGCCACAAACATACAGGTGATTTTCTAAAGCTGGTGCATTAAATAGGTGGTTCTCAACTGGGTTTGCTTCAAAAGCCACAGTTCCAACATTGCTTATCGTGCAAAAGTAAACTGTTGATTTCTACATTCTCAGAAAAAGGGGTACAACAGCTTGTCCCTTGTCTCAGTACCTTTATTAAGGTTCATGGTAGTACTTTAAGGGTACATATTACTAGTCTAAGGAACTAATATGCACGTTTTTGTGGTAAATAAGGTACAAAGTTGCCCTTTTAAGTGTTCTTCTCCAGTGACAAGCTGTTGTTCCACTAAAGTTACACATTTTGCTTTTTTTTTTTTTTCTGTGAGTGTAAATGTCACATGAATTTTAGATTTCATCATACAGATTGCAGCATATCATCCTCTACACAACAAATTGTGGTCAGCACAAACCATATATTTATCCTGATTTTAACCTATTTTTAATTTAGTAAGGGTTGTATTTTCATGCTGGCATTAGGGTCAATGACATGACTAAATGTGTTTGTTCTATCTATAAAAAAATACATTAAACATGCAATTCATACATATAATGACTTACCTAAAAGTATTGTAAATTTATTTAGATATTTTTCTGGGTTATAAAGTAAAATAAGGTGATACATATTCCTGTAAAATAAAGTAAAAAATCAAATAAAATAAAATAAAATAAAACATTATTGAAATACCTTATTAAGTAGTTTGGCATAATCATTTATTATTATTTCTTAGAAAAGAAGTGAACCAACATGCAGAAACAACAACAACAACAGTAATCAGGAAGTTATATAATAGAAATAAGCCCTTCACAAATCTCGTACTTTTTACCTTGAAAAATATAATTAAAAACATTTTGAAAATAATGACTAGTATTGGTGCACTGTGTGTATTCAAGATGTAAAGAAAATGTTATTACTTTTTATTTGATGGTTGCACTACATGACATTTTAGAGTCATTAGAATGTAATGTTTTCTTGCAAATAGTATAATTTTGGTTAAAATAGAATGACATGAAACCAAAATGAATACAAGTACATTTGAAAGAACATGGCAGATGCATTTTAAACTAGATTTTAAAAACGTTTTCTTTATCATGGACACTGTTGTACGCCATTGATCCATTACTGACTCAGTAACCTCACAAATTTGCATCAACAACAAAAGATAAGGAAAGTGTTTTCTCTTATCAAAATTTTTAATTTGTTCTAACCACACACAATTACATAGTTAGATGCATTTATTATTTGCATTTAGCATTGTTTTCCCCTTCTGTCTGCCATCACAACACACTTGTGACCCATTTTAAAGTCCCAACCATCCAGTTGAGAGCCACTGCTGTAGATAAGCCGGTAGATGAGCTTTTACGCAAGATTAACTTTTATCTATTAAGAAAGTCTAAGGTATATTGTATCCTTTAGTGTTTGATATCACATTCGGTCTTGGTGCACGAAGGATAAATGTCGGACACTACTGCCAACAGGCCTTGTATAAGCTCGTCAGGGCGGCCATCGTTAGCAGGAGTTTGTAAACAGAGCGTAGAGTGTGTGGAAGGGGGGCAGAGGTGCAGAAAGACGATACAGCAATAGTGAAACTCAAGCTGGTTGGAGCAGGGGAAGGAGGGGGCGCTTGTTTGACCACCGGGATGAGCGATGGGTCGACGGTCCCATCAGAAAGCACTGCCACGGCAACTGCGCGGATTCACTAGGTGTCGCCTAGGCAGGTAATTCATCAGCCCATGCTGGGGCTGGGCCTCCGAAAACTTCCCATGGTCACTTCTGAGTGCGAATACGTAATGAGCTGGCGGGCTTCACATTTGCCACGGCTGATTAGACGAGAACAATGAGCCCAAACAGAACTGGCAGTCCTCACAATGGGGACTGGAAAGCCTCAAGGCGTTGCCCCCATATTTCTAGAGGAGGAAGAGAGAGAGAAAAGGGAACAAAACTGTAGTTTATAACTGTCCTCTCTCTTTTGGATGACTGTTGTACATGTACAATACTTTGTCACTAGACTTCCGAGAGTGTGTACTAAGGTTGTGCTCAAAGCCTAAAGAATGATGGGAAACAGTGTTTTGTCATATTTTAATTAGCAGACAGAGAAATATAGTTTGTTGTTGTTGTTGTTTTATCTAAATAATGAGCATTTGGATCAGGATAACTGTAAACTAAAACGAAAACTAATATATATATATATATGTATATTAGTGCTGTCAAACGATTAATCGCGATTATTCGCATCCAAAATAAAAGTTTTTGTTTGCATAATATATGTGTGTGTTCTGTGTATGTAAAAATATAATTTTATCAAAACTTTAATAGTATATCAATGATAAAATAACTGATTTGAATTGATAAAATGTATATTTACATATTTTATATTGGTATAGAAATAACATTATTTGAAGTAAATGTGAGTGTGAGACCATGTAAAACTTCTTACCGTCATACTAGGGTGTTGTGGGTTGTTGCTAGGTCATTGTTTATGCGGTTGCTAAGGTGTTATGAGTGGTTATTACTGCAGTTGCTCAGGTGTTTTGACTGTTTGCTCAGAGTTTGACAAGTTTTGGGTATAGGCGGTTATTTACTAGCCCAAGTCAAAAGAACCCACCGCAAGGTTTCTAAGATATAGAATTCTTCACCGCTAGATGAAAATTAACTCAGCAAGCCGATTGATGTGACGTATCATTCACGTCTGTTGCAGGATGAGTTAAGTTGAAGATAGAAACTTGTGCAGTATGTGTTGCTATATGCACACTTTAGCAAACTCCAGTGATAACAGAATAAAAATGGCTCGACTGTCATTTAGTTCCTATGAAATTATTAAATTATTTTCTCACTGATTATTTGTGTGCAATATTAACATATTGTTTATAGCTACACTGAAATTAAGAGTCCTTTTCTGACCAACCAAAAATGTGGTAATCTTAACTAAGCAATTTGGCCTGGAAAGAGATCAACGTCATTAGCGTCTTTTGTTTGACAAAGAGGAACTGGCTCGTGGAGAGCGTTCAATCTCCGCAGCAGGCGTATCTCTTTGAACACGCTCTACGACATGAGTTTCTCTATCAGTTGGAGACCGTTTCGCTCTCCACTTTAAAAATAGAGATGATGGGAGGGAAGCCCCTGGAATATTTATTGGGAGGGGGGAATAAATCCACAATCCACCGATAATGTTGTTCTGATGTTCTTCCCGGCCATGACTGTTTTTTTTTTGTTTTATTTCCAATTACTTAACGGTATAGTTTCTCTATCAGTTGGAGGCCGTTTCGCTCTCCACTTTAAAAATAGAGATGATGGGAGGGAAGCCCTTGGAATATTTATTGGGAGGGGGGAATAAATCCACAATCCACCGATAATGTTGTTCTGATGTTCTTCCCGGCCATGACTGTTTTTTTTTTGTTTTATTTCCAATTACTTAACGGTATTTACATATTATTTTAATGTAGTGCGCCATGCCGCAGCCCAGCAATGAGGCGCTGAAAGAATTCACGCTTAATTGTATTTCATAAATCATATTGGTAGCCCCTTCAGAATAAGCTCCCTGTAACAAAATGATAAAATGGCCAATTATGAGAAAATTCCAGGCTCTGTAATTTACTAAACACACTCCAGAGAGAGTCTTTTGAGGGGAAAGATAGACTCCCTGTTGAATTGTTTTCCTTTAGAGTGGCTTTATGTTATATTACTAAATAAATAATAATTGTTTGATTATTCGTGCTTGTTTTCGACAGATCTTTACACACACAGCATCCGTCACTTTGACCCCACCCCCCCCCCATCAGGGAGATTGAACCCAAACTAGTGTTTGCAGTCTAAACTGTAGCCTTTTAAACGCAAATAACTGAGGTGATAGGTAGAGATAGCAGCTCCATCACTCTCAGAGCTGCTCAAATTCCTAATCACAGTATTTGTTTTAGCTTTTGCAGGTTCTGTCCAAACCTGTGGGCTGCATTCTCCTGATTCGTCGTCTCGCGGAGGACCAGATCTGGGGACATTGGTGTCAGCAAACTTCGAGCATCAACTTTGACCTCTCAGTAAATTCATATGCTGGACGCATGCTAAAATGATTACGTATATGGAATTTACTAATGTCACTGCATTCTGCGTGACTCATTTCACCAAAAGAAACTTGTATCCATTTATGATAAAAAAAAAATATTTTAATGCAAGATAACTGATTGCCTTTAAAAATGATTAGTAATGTCTCTCTTTGATGCCATACTTTATTATATTTTGTTTGACAAATCAATGTAAGATATCATTTTGAAATGTTTGTAGATTGCTTTATTTGGTTTTTGAGATAGATTTAATGCATTTTAAATGTTTATTTAAAAATAAAAAACCATATAGTTTTGTAATTAAGCTTCAGTCAAATTGCCCACGTAAAAAGAACTTAAGTACACTACTCCAGTTTTAAACCACTGTAAATAGAAGATAAAAACAAAATACTACACAACAAACGTTTACAGAGCAAAGTTGAAGACACAGAAGCTTCTAATTACATATTTTGCAACAAAAAAGACAGAGGGACTCTAATGACTCTAATTCAAAAAATTGAATTATTTATTTGAATTGATTAATTGAAATGCAACAACCAAATGAACTGATTCACTAAAATTAGCTGCACTTTTAAGCCAGTTTAAGAGAGTCTTTGATTGGCTCATGTGTCTGTGAAGCTTTGCATGTGATAAAAGATGCTTTGTCATGCTACTGGTTGAAAATGTATTTGTTACTTTGTTAGTAATACTCATAATCAAAATACTCACAATCAAAAACTGTATTGCTGTGAACTATAGGTCAGTGACTTATGTTCAATGATATGGAAATAAATTCAATGTCAATTCATTGTTTGTTTGTTTCACCTATCACAATATTGGGATTTTTTTTTCTTTGCAAATATTGATATATGCAATTAATTATAACATATAATGTAAGTAATTACATTAAAATGCATTATACAAAAGGAAAAACTTTTAATAATCTACTTTTTACATCTATGTTGGTTTTACAAGGTTTTGAAAAGTGTTTAAATGTAATGATTCTAAAAATGTCATGTGGTATGACCATTAAGTAAAACGTATTATATTTTATTACCCCTTCTGAATATATTTGAATATGCACATCTGTTTTTTAGGTCTACTTTTTGAGGTAAGTTTTTTTCTTCTTCCTAAATATCATGAACTAATAATAAATGCCATTACATGTTTTGGGGGAAATCACACCATATGACATTTTAGAAGCTGAACTAACCTGTATTATCCTAAAATTACCAAATTATCTGTTATTTTGAAAGATTTGCTAACATAATTTTGTTTTATATATTTTTTTTCCTACATATGTTGGTTGCACCACATGACAGACGTTTTCAATTATTAATAAGCAGTAAAGCATTCTTGTCATTTCTTTTTTAAAGAAATAATAATAAATGATGTCAAATTAATTAAGTGGGGTTTACTTTGAGGAATTTATGATATCAGGAGAACAGTTGCATCACCCTGACATTTTTAACATTTCCAACCAAAAAAAAAGAAGAAGATAACTTTTGACAGAAAATTAAAACACGTTTATCATAGTGAAGGTGTATTCAAGTAATTATATGCATGAATCACATTTTTTATGCATTTCTAAATAAATTAATACATACAAAAAGTGTAAGAATCTTAAAATTCAACTCATTAAAACCCTGTATTGATAGACAACTTCTGAATAATGCAGAGGAAGTGTATACGCCTAAATATGTTATGCCTCTGCCTCCTACTGCACTGTATGTAAATGAGTATATGAGTCATAATTAATCTTAATGTAGGGCATCCCATTTGAATACAATACAGTAAGGGAAGGTGTAACTGTAAACCTCTTATGCAGTATCAATGTGGCAGCCCTGCGGTGCTGAAACTCTGTCACATAACTGTCTCTCTGGCTCTCGAAGCTCCCAGGCCAGCGCTGTGCTCTCCGCATTCAACAGTCTCTTTATTTAAACACAAAGTGCTGTGACACGCTGCTCTCCAGCAGCTTCCACTGCTTCCTTTTACCTCTACCTGCATTTATATTTGGGCACATTCTGGTGTTTGCGGTCACTTCTCAAGTACTATTTGTGAAAAAGGATATTACCTCACGTAATTGATGGTTGTTGAGCAAACACAGGGAGTCCATTTGCGACAGAGTAGAGAAGGTCCTGACAAACCTGAGCTCCATCCGTGTTTGGACTGTATTGCACTCTACGTTTTCCCAGGTTAACACAATGTTATTAAACCAAGTTGACCGCAGGGTCAGCGCGAGAGCGGCCCATGAAAACAAACAATTAATTTGGCATCGAGGTGTAATGGCATGATCTCCCGGCAGGGCCGGATCCATTGTTCGGCTGGAATTAACCGTGGCAGGTCATGTGTCATTGGGCACTGACCTCGGTCCATTCACTAGCCCACATTTGCATTAGCCATGGCCCGGCAAGGGGTCAAACACAGTTACAAGCCAGCCAAACACCCCTCCCAACACACATGCACACAAAACACACACTGCCTTCCAGTTCCTGGCCACTTTTGATCGCGGAAGTTCTTGCCAAACAAAGGCATACCGTTACCAGGAAGGGATATGTATTACTGTGATGACATTTCTGCAAAAAAAGATAATACGTTGCTACTTGCACATTTCGCGACAACGTTTTATTATGCTAGCTATTGTATGTATCACGACAGTTCGGAAATGAAATGTCCAGTGAGTGGCGCTAAAAGCATGTTCAGATTTATCAAAAAAAAAAAAACGTGGTTCTGACGATGTTTTATTACATTGACTTTGCGTTTAGTGTTATCCGAAGCAGATGGATGTGAATCTGGCAGCGTTTTTATTGCATTGGTTGTTGTATACATCACAGCAGTTTAGAAATAAAATGTCCAGTGGGTGGTGCTAAAAGTGTATTCGGTTTTATCCAAAGCAGATTAATGCAAATCTGGAAAAGTTCAATTATGTTGCTTGTTGTAGGTATCGCGGAAGTTTAGAAATTCAATGTCTGGTGAGTGGTGCTAAAAGCACATTCAGATTGATTTGAAACAGACTAATGTGAATCTGCCAGTATTTTATTACATTGATTGTTGTTCGGAAAGTAAATGTTCAGTGAGTGGTGCTAAAAGTATGTTTGGTTTTATCTGAAGCAGATGAATGTGAATCTGGTAGTGTCTTATTGCATTGTTTGTTGTGCGTATCATGGCAGTTCGGAAATTAAATGTCCAGTGGGTGGCGCTAAAAGTGTGTTTGGTTTTATCCGAAGCAGATCTGGAAAAGTTCAAATATGTTTACATCGCGGGAGTTCGAAAATGAAATGTCTCGTGAGTAATGCTAAAAGCACATTCAGATTCATCCAAAACCGACAAACATGATTCTGCCAGCATTTTATTATGTTGGTTCTTGTATTTATCACAATTGTTCAGAAATGAAATGTCGAATGAATGGCGCTAAAATCACCTTCAGATTTATCTAACACAGATAAAAGTGAATCTGTAAATGTTTTATTACGCTGACTGTTGTATTGTAGCAGTTGAGAAATTCAATGTTTGGTAAGTGCTAAAAGTGTGTTCGGTTTTATCCAAAGCAGTTGAACAGATAGCAGTGTTTTATTGCATTGGTCGCCGTACGTATGCCAGTAGTTAGGAAGTGAAATGGCCGGTGAGTGGCGCTAAAAGCACATTCAGATTTATCCGAAACAGATGAACGTGAATCTAGCAAATGTTAATTATGTTGGTTGCTGTAAGCATTGCAACAGTTCGGAAATAAAATGTCTAGTAAATGGCACTAAAAATGTGTTCAGATTTATCCAAATCAGATGAACATGAATCTAACAACATTTTATTTCATTGATTGTAATGAATCGGACATGAAATTCTTGGTGACTGGCCCTAAAAGTGTGTTCGGTTTTATCCGAAGCAGATGCATGTGAATCTGCCAACGATTTATTGCTTTGGTTGTATGTATTGCCACAGTTCAGAAATGAAATGTAAGTTGAGTGATGCTAAAAAGCTAATGCTTTGTCATGTTTTAAAATCACATTGTTAACAAAAGCTGGTAATGTTAACCTGATAATGCCATACCAGGTGCGCTACTGAGCAAGTTTACTATGTCACAAAAGCCATACATATGGAGCAAAGTATGTGATGCAAATGTTAAAATGTATTATTTAAATCATGCACTACAGTAAAAGTTATAGTACTGGAACGTAATGAAAATAAGTATTTATTAATCAATAACCTTGCCCTGTAATCATAATTTGTGTGAACAGAAATAAAAGTTTTATTTTATTTCAACTGGAAACTGCAGTGAATTTTATGTATAGGCACATTTAGCAAAACTGTTTTTTTTCCAATAAGCATACTGTAGGTTGTCATCTCTTCCTGTGAAATTGATGATGCAAATATGTCCGTGACACCTTTAAATGAATCATCACATCTGAAGGTACATTTATTCAAGTCAAAGTCATCTAGCGTTCAGAGAAGAGCAGCGTTCGCTCTGACATATCCACCACGGGCCACCCATCATGTTGGCTTTATGTTGTCCGTATGTTATGTTGCTGTTATTTTGCCGTCTCCCTCAGGCACGGCTCAAAGTTGCTGACTTCATTTACCGCCAGTCACCCGAGGCGCGAATCGTGGGGGATAGTCATAGGTGGTTAGCGCGCTAGTACACCTGACAGATGCGCAGTGCAACTGCGGTATGTCGAAAAACATCTGATCCCGTAGCCTCGGGCCACAGATACCGCAGAAACGTGTTGTGTAGATGACGGACAGTTATGCAAAATGATATTCGTGCTGCTAATCCTACTTAGCATACATCTGTGATGTGACTGCGAGTGTTTGTTATCTACAGCGTTTCACAGGTATATCATCCATATTTAAACACAAGCAAACAACAGCTGGAAGTTGACAGTACACGTTCTCCGTTGTGATGGGCAGACTTCAGGAGACAGGAGCCTCTTTGTCCGTTAATTGATTGGGTGTTGAGTGGGCGGAAAAGGCCGGGCTGAAGCCCCAAAGCGCAGTGCCTGAATTAAAACTTCAATCCCCCATGTAAGACTCAATTTCATCCGTGACCCGACATTATACAAATGAGCAGGGAACTGATAGGTGCCTTCTCCGTAGATGGAGTCCCTGAGCTGTAGGCCTGGGATGGG